GAAGGAAGAAGAGTCAAATGAAATGTGCGGTGAATTGGGAAGCTCAAAACCAAAACCATGGCATTTATTGATACCCTTTCGGCAAAATTGTCAGCCCAATTTCATTGGTATTGGTTGAAATAATAAAGGTAGACATATTTAAGAGATATGGTCCCATTAGCAAAAACTTATTTGCCAAAAAATCTTTATCGAGTTATTAGATTCTCTACCAATAGCAATATCCCCACCATGGTGTCTAATTTCAGCTACCTATTCATCCGCTAGTATTCAATTTAGGTAGGGTAAAGCCTGGTGAAATCTACCGTTCAACCAATGTTATATAACTATGTTTCATCATCTGATAAAGATAGCATTAATTATTTACTTAATTATTACCTATAAAAAATTTCTTTTATTTTTCTTTGTGATTATTGTAATTGATGATTCTTGATTTCTTGAATTGAATATAACTTTATGTGTATAAGTTTACTTTTTTTTTGAAGTTAAAACACGCACCTCTTTTTTCTTTTATCCATCTTAATTAACCGGCTGAAACTATGAACAAAAAATTTATTAGAATTTTTACATTGAGAACTAAGAATTTTTATTTTAACCTCTTTTATCCACCTTAATTAATTGGCCAACATTAAAAACAAAAAATTTGTTATAAATTTTGCATTGAGAGCTATGAATTATTTTTTTTCAGTATTCATTACTGCCAGCTAATGTAAATGACTAGCATACAAGAATTTATATATATAAATATACATCAATTTATGATATATATACAGTAGAACTTTTTTATAGTCATAATATTGGGATTAACTAAATTTATTATTATGAGTATGTTATAACTTAATAGAGGTGTAGTTACAATAATTATTTTTTTATTAAAAAAAGTTCTTATTTTATAATTTATGTTTTAATAGCATTATGATTTCCATTCATATTTTAATAGTATTAAGATTTCAATTCATTGTTTTAGTAGCATTCAAATAATACGAAAATGGATATCAAAGAGTTATTACAGAATTGAGTGATCAGATTCGACAACTTCACTACACTAATCAAATGGATATTAATGTGTTCCTCAATCATCCAAATGAATAACAAGTCATGCATGTTTTAACTGAAAAAAAAAAAAATTACTAAAATTAGACAAGAAGAGGAATGAGATAATCCTGATGATGATAGTACGGAAATACCAAAAGTTTCATGTCAAGAAGCTTTGAACATACTTAAGAAGCTAGAAATATTTTGGTTTCAATAAGAATGTGTCCATGTTGGCGACTTATTATGAACCCATAAGATAAAAGATGTGGTAACAGCTCTATAGTATAAATTATTGTCAAACAACTTTAGATAAATATTTTATTTCATCTTAAACCTTTAATGTAACATAGCATATATTTTTTGCAATATACATATAATTATTACTATATAGAAGCAAGTTTCTTAAGACGAGATCTAGAAAAATTATAACTTATTACAATATGAAATTTATTCTTATTTATAACTGATCCAAGTTATAACCATATTTTTTTATGACTACATGAAGTTTATTCTTATATAAAATATTATTATAAAGAGAGTATATAATTAAATGGTATGGTACCCACATGATATAAGGACTCTCTCATTAATTACACTTTTAATTTAATGGAAGTAAATGTGACATTAATGCCTCTAAGAAACATAAGAGATGATAATATATAGTCAATAGATTCATCTATTCAAAATGATATCATGATTTCGAGGTTTAGGTAAAATAAATGATATATTTTAATCTTTACTTAAACAAAGATGTCGATAAGGTGAAGTGGTGGAACAAGCACATTACCCTTTTCATAATTCTACTTCTCAAAGAATACCTTTTTGCTTTTACCTTCTTACCTTTCCTTTGTTCCATGTCCAATCATTCAGAGAATAAAAAAATAAAAGTATAATATAAAACAAGCCTCCTAAATCTTGAAGCAAAGACACTTTCTTTTGTCTTTTTGGTATATATATATATATATATTTTTTTTTTTCCTTCTTCTTCTTCTTCTAATCCAAATTTGTAAACTAATCTACACACGAACTCTCTCTTCACGTTTCATTCTTCTGCACTCTAAAACATTGTTCTTTTCTTCCTCCCCCATATTTTAATAGGATGGTCTTGATGAAGCATTAATAACCTAATAAAAAATATGGAATTGAAAAGGGAAAATTCAGTTGCATATGTTATGCTTGTTTACAAGGTTAAATTTGGTATTAATTGACTTATAAGAAAAGAATTATTAAAGATTCTGTCAACTGGGTAGTTTTCAGACCTCTTCAAATAAACTCCTTCTTCTTGCCTATGGATTCTGTGTTATTTTAGCTTTCTTGATGCTGTAATAACCAGCATTCTTCATGGAACTCGTTTTTGGCAAATGGGTGTTTGCATTTTCACTCTCTTGTTGGCTCATCTTCTCTGTAGCACTATCAGGTAACTTCAACTTTGTTTTATTGTTTCTCTTATATTCTTGATTTCTTGCTTATGTTTTGTAGTTTCTAAAAACTGATTCTTTGATTGTACTTGTTGATTAAAGTGGAGGGACTGCATGGAGATGCTAAAGTTAGAGGAGTGAATTTCGGAGGGTGGTTGGTTATAGAAGGTTGGATAAAGCCTTCTCTTTTTGATGGCATTCCCAACGGGGATATGCTTGTAAGCAAGCTTCTTATTTCAAGATGTTGAGATTTTGAATTATGGTGTTTTTTTTTTTTTTTCGCAGTGATTTTTTTCGCAAGTAATTTCATTATACCAAAATGCAGGATGGGACACAGGTCCAATTCAAGTCCGTCACATTGCAGAAGTATGTTTCTGCAGAGAACGGGGGTGGTATGGGTGTTTCAGTGGACAGAGATGTTGCCTTTTCATGGGAAACCTTCACTGTAAGATCCCCTACTAATTTGTTTGTCCTTTAAATTTTATTACTTGGAGTCTTCATATCTTTGTGGCGATTCAACTTGTTCATTTCTTCGAGCATTTTAAATTCATTGTTACATCATACTGATGCTATAATAGTCGGTTCAATACTGCTAACTTTCCACATGTAAAATGTTTTAAATTTTTGCATAAGACTATGCAGCTAGTTTATTCAGTATACGGCTCTTTTTTTTTTTTTTTTTGTCATTTTTGTTGTATTCTGGTTAGTTCAGACTCTTTAAGATGATGACTCTGTGTTGTCTTTCTGATGCTGTAATAGTACAAAGGAAAATAAATGCAATTAGTTTGTGGAAATTTGCTCTTGTTCGTAGTTTATTGATATTCTGATTATGCATTCTGATCTGGATATTGATTTGGCATGATAAAATTCCTTAGCTGCATAAGTATGAGATTCCAACTTCATGCAGTCTTCAATGGTGTGAAGTGAGTCTTGCTGATTGAGCATTATAATGTATATTTTTGATGTTGGATTAATTTAACAGTTGACAAGCCTGCATGAAACAGTGTCTACTTGCAAAACCATATTTAAAATGAAGCTAACATCATTGACTGTGCGTGAAAAGAACTTTACTATTTAAGAAAGGCTTTTGGACTGTCCAAGTCCTTGTTAGCAGGATTTGAATTAATTCATGTTTAATTAGAGAAACTGGCATTTGATATTTTTAGTTGTTAAAATAACAGGTCTGCTCTTATATTCTACATTTAGTTATTACTGTGTTTTCTCTTTAAAGCTAGAGTTAGTTGAGACGTGTGCAATTGGATATTGATCAGATCATGTGTTTTCTCCAACATCATGGATGTGCATATCTTACTGCACTTTATTGTTTATAGTTCATAGTACAGAAATATTTAGTGAACATGCTACAATCTCAGTAGAAAACATGAAGTATTGTTGCCTCTCTTTTATTTTTTTTTTCCATTTTTACTTAGCATGCAACCATACCCCATCCTTTCTCATTCGTGAACACAAATTAAATTGATCCCCTCCAGAATTGATAAGATGGAGATTTAATGCTTAGACCTCTCTCTTTACTGTTAGAGATCTAATCAATTAAGAGATCACATAATTGGTAAGGTTGTTTGGTGATGGACCACTACTTAAGACTTAAATCAGTGTAACTCACCTTATCCTAGTAATTTATATTCTACACCAATTAAGTTTTCCCATATGTATTGTTGTTTGCTACATGACACTTCTGAAAATAAACTCTTGTATTTATAATACTTTCTCAATCATTAATACTTAAATCAAGTTTGTCACAACTGACATTGTGTGATGATATATTGTTAGCAATTTCAAGTTTTAGAATGGTACTTGTATTTAGAGATTGGTATATCATTATTTTTTTGCTTGGCATCAGTGTTATAGTGTAGTTTCTTCTCCTACAGTTATGGAGAGTTACAGAATCAGAATTTCAGTTCCGCACTTCTCAAGGACAGTTTCTATCATGTGATGGTGAAGGTTGCTCTCTGTCTGCAACCGCAAAATCTCCTTCATCACCAGAAACATTTGTAATTGAAAGAAATAACGATGGTAGAGTCCACATCAAACTTAAGAGTGGGACTTATCTGCAGGTATCATTTCTAACTTTTTCCTTCCTGTGTGTCTAGGAAGAGATCAAAAGTACCCACTTTGCAGTTTGCACTGTCGATAGAAAGTAGAAATATAAACTCATAAAATATATGATACTATCCAATGTTTCAGAATCTCTGGCTGAATTACAATTTTGCTTTATATGCATTAAAAGATTTTGGTTGACTACTAAACATAGAGAAGCCAATCAAGGTCAAGATTCTACAAAAAGAAATGAGTTTTTAAGCTAATGCTTTTATTCGTATAATCATCAAAAATATTATTTGGGTTTATTTACTTTGTATCACATTGAAATTTGGGCATAATTTGGGAATTTCAAAGGCTTGGAGAAATTTCTATGACACAATTCTCCAAAAACATTCAACGTGCCAATCAGTTAGTGAATTTATCAGAACTGATTGGTTCTTACTGCACTTTCACCCATCAAATACTAGGATAAGCACTTTTTCACCCAATATGTCTGCAGTAGACCTAGTAATGATCAACTGAGATGGCCTTTGAGATTATCTCAGCATTGTATTTTGCCTTTTTGTTGAAGTTGAGGTTCTCAGTAAGGAAAAATCATAGAACGTACTTCATTCTTAGGCTACCTTAGCAAACCAGCTCACAGCAGACTATCCAGGGGTGCCAGGCTGGGATGCTAATGCTGCCACATTTGGAATGACAATTGTAGCCAATAACTTGCATGGAGATTACCAGCTTGCAAATGGATATGGACACAATCGGGCCAAAGAGGTTCTAAAGGTGACCCTACTCCCTAAGTACATCTTGAACTCTTTAAGCTAACATAATAGGTGATGGGTCCTTGTTAAGCATATATATAAGATTCATGCAAGCATTAAGCAAGGTTTTTTCTGTGGGAACATAATTGGTAATCGAATCATTTTATCAAAGTTTTTTTGTCTATCTCATTTCAGTTTCTGCAAATTGTCAGAATATGGTCTTTTAGTTTCAATACTTCTTTTAATATTACCTTTTTCAGTTGATGGATAGAAATTTTCCTCTTCATGAACTATGTAGCTAGATAATACAACCTCTTGGTTAATTTTTTATTAATTGAAGGCTTGCCATTTGTTAATACATCAGAATGACAGATCTTCTATACAGCTGAGCAGTTAAAAGTTTTTATGTTATTCCCTTGGGTAATCAAGAGTTCAAGTGTTCAAATTTCCCTTGGCGCCATCTATTTGGATTTTGTACCGCACAAGTTTCTAACTGCCAAGGTTGTAGTGTCTTGAAGTACCCCCTATTTAGACTCCAGTGAACACAGGACAAGTTGAGGATTTCTGCGTAAAAAAGAAAAATTTGCAATGCTTTAATAGCTTATTTATTTATTTTATTTAACTGCAGAGACATAGAAACAGTTTTATTACTATAGAAGATTTCAACTTCCTGTACAGACATGGAATAAATACTGTGAGGATTCCTGTTGGCTGGTGGATTGCTTATGATCCTGATCCTCCAGCTCCATTTATTGGGGGAACTTTGGAAGCTCTGGATAATGCATTCTCCTGGGCACAGTGGGTCTTGTTTTCATGTCATTCTGTTGATATTTACAGTCTCAAGCTACATCTTTATTTAACATGTACCTATAAATTTTGTGCTGCAGAGCGTATAGCATAATGTGCATAATAGACCTTCATGCTGCTCCTGGCTCCCAAAACGGGATGGAACATAGTGCTAGTAGAGACGGTTGGACAGACTGGCCTACTTCAGATCATGTCTCACAAACATTACATGTTATAGATTTCTTGGCTTCAAGGTATGCTTTGGTTGTGCTGTAAGGTTTTTGAATAGGTTCACATTTGTTGCAATGCACCTGCTTGAATGTTTCTCCATATTTCAACTGCTATAAATATTTGATGGGTGGTCACTAGGATGGAAAACATCTAATAGTGTTGAAAGTATTAATGTGAAGGTCAATACAGATCAGTACTGAAATGGTTTTTGCTGTCAGCTGTTGGCATTTTGAGGAGTTGAATTCTAAATATTTATCAGACCATTACCTTTACACACACGAATATATCTCCCCCTTGAGTTACAAAAGCCAAAAATGACATTGAACCTTATATACAAGTCTTTGACTGAACTTATTCTTTTGGATATGGAATTTACTGAGTCATTCTTACAATTATCTAAAGAAATATAAATGTCTTTAGATTACTTGGGGCAATTTAGCATGCTTGTGTCTTTAGGACACTCACCCATGTAGACCCCACAACAAGCAACCCCCAACACTTGGTCATTCATTCAATTATCCGAAGCAATATAACGCCCAACACAAACATCCCACTTATGTCTTTAATAGTGATGTTGGCCTACCCAATAGGTAGTCTCCTTCCAACTCCTAGCTATTATTTACCTGTTTTGTGTATAAAAAATGGTGTTGAAGATCTGCCTCCTTTCTAGCTAGAAGATCCATCCTTGGTTTTGCTGCTATTGGAGTTTAATGTTCATTTTACTAGCATTTGACATGTACTGTTCATCTTTTTTCTCATAATAGCTATCATGGATATAGCACTTTCATCAAATCAACTGTCAAAGGTGATAATCCCAAATATAAAATATGAAGTTTTATGGGTTGCCATATTTTCATGAAAGTGCTCATCAATGCCCTGAATTATGTATAGCCTGCTACACTGCACTCAATTTTAACATGTACAACAATGAACAAACTTATTGAAACCATGATGATAAGCAGGGACGTAACCACACTATAACATATAGGTTCAATTGAACCTATTCAAACTTTGGAAAAAAGATAAAAAAAAGGTTTTATATTTTATAATATTTACAATTTTGACCCCACTTAAATTTATATTGAACCCACTCAAACTTTAAAAAAAATAAAAAAAGACTTTATATTTTATAATATTTATAATTTTGACCCCACTTAAATTCATATTAACACCACAAAATTTTATTGTAAATTTATCAATTTAAATGTTTTGAATCCACTCACTATCCCTGAGTTTGATAAGTCTCTCATTTCTTTTCCTTTCTGATTATGTTAATGTCTTCTAAATGGATTCTTCTATGTTATTTCTTACCTCTGAATTTGATTTAAAAAACTTTCACTTCTTTCACTTATAGGTATGCAAAAAATCCTGCCTTCTTGGGAATTGAACTTTTGAACGAACCATCTGCAGCAACAGTTCCATTGGATATCTTAATCTCCTATTACAAACAAGGCTACCAAATTGTTCGGAAACACTCATCTACAGCTTATGTGATAATGTGCCAAAGAATTGGCAATGCAGATCCTTTGGAACTTTATCAGGCAAATATAGGCTCTCACAATATAGTTGTGGATCTTCATTACTACAATCTGTTTGACCTTTTCTTTGTTAATATGAGTGCCATGGATAATATCCAATTCATCTACAGAAGCAGGGAAGCTCAACTACAAGCCTTAAATAGCGTAAATGGTCCCCTTGTTTTTATTGGTAAATCATGTTTTTAAAATTTTTACCTCTATATCAATTTCATACCTAAGTAGAAATCAAAGTTATATATGTGGGTTGGGATCGACAACCATTTCTTTATACAAGGAATAATAAAAAATTTATATTCGAATCATGCACTTTCAACTGATGGAGATTATATTTAGCACATACACTTCCTATTGTGAATTAACTCTGATACATAATTGGTTTCCAGGGGAATGGGTGAATGAGTGGAATGTGACAAACGGCTCTCAGAAGGATTATCAAGACTTCGGGAGGGCTCAGTTAGAGGTTTACAATGCTGCTTCCTTTGGATGGTCGTACTGGACTCTCAAAAATGACAGACAACACTGGGATTTTGAATGGAACATTAGGAACCATTATCTCCAACTGGGTAATGTTTGAAACTCGTATTTAATCTATTAAGATTTTCTGAAATTCTGATAGTATATTACAGTTACATCCGTCCTATAGTCAATAATTTCCTCTTCTAAATAGCATGTGAACTACATTCATGCAGGTAATTCTCCAAAAACCCAAATTTTCAACACTATAGTGTTGCTTGGATTAGTGTGTACCTGGTTATATCTGCATCATATGTTGTGACCAACCGCACAAACGTTGTGGATGACCCAGAAATGTCGAGGGAGACATAAATGCGGCTTTTCTTAATTTTTTATTTTTTCAAATTTCTTTGCATCTCAACCACTACATTCATGTGCTTTTTACAAATCTGGAATTGCAGTAAAATTGTTAGAGCATAAACTATCCACAGAACATGTGAATGATCCTGTAAGAACTTGGGGGCTACCTCAGAAATATACAAATGAAAAATTCATTCTACTTTGAGCTTCTTGTGCACTCTTCTCGCATAATTTTATTCTCATCTAAAGCCAGTTTTTGTAAACCAAAATGTAAATTCTCTTGACCACCTGGCCAACTGTAAAATATCCTAAAAAAAGCAAAACCAAAAACCCAAAGTATGATAAAGGCAGGTCAGTAAATCCCATGATGTGTCCGATTGCAGTGAACGGAATTGCAATTCCGATTGCAGAAATTATGAGTGTAGAACAAAGTACAGGCCATGAGGCATTCTCCTGAATGAAGGGGATTTTCTCAGTCCGGATCATGTGTATAATCAATGTCTGCATGAGTAATCCTTCCACAAACCACGCAGAACGGAAGAATACGACATCCAGTTCTGCAGAATCTTTGTAATAGAACCAGAGGAAAATAAGCGCAGTTACATCACAGAGAGTACATACAGGACCATTCCATAAGATGAACATGGGTAAGCCTTTCTCAGACCATATCTGCGGAGTTTTCACATAATCTTCCTCCATATTGTCCCATGGAATAGCAATCTGACCCACACTATATAAGAAATTCTGTGTCAGGAGCTGTCTTGGAGTTAATGGTTCAATTTGCAGGAAAATGGTCGCAATCAGGAGTGAAAGAACACCTCCCACATTAGCAATAACTGACATTTTGATGTACTTCATGGTGTTACCAAAGGTTAGACGGCCCTGCTCAACTCCAGCAACGAGGACATTGAGATCCTTCTCAAGTAAAATAATGTCAGCGAAGTCTTTTGCAACTGATGCCCCTGAATCAACTGATATACCAACATGTGCAGCATCCAATGCAAGTGAATCATTTATACCATCTCCCAGGAACCCAACTACATGCTGACCGGTTGTCTGCAAGGACTGTACTACTCGGAGTTTCTGAGTTGGGGTTAGCCTAGCCAGTACCGTTGCTCTTTTAACAGTCTCGTGGAAGGATTCTTGGCTGAGTAGCTCAAGTTCTGGTCCTGTAGTTACATGCGTGGTTCTGATGCCAACCTCCTGGCAAATCTTTATTGCCAGGGAGGGTGAGTCACCTGTTAAAACTTTTGCTTTCACTCCCTTCTCAGCTAGCCGCCACAGAGCTTGCTTTGCTGTGTCCTTAGGAGGGTCAAAGAATGTTATAAGGCCTAGAAACACCATGTCCGACTCAACAGTATCCTCACCAGTGCTGTTTTGATCACTTTTTCGCTGCAAGAGGATATAAAACATTAATGTAAGGAAAGAAATGCAACATAATAGAGTAATTCTGCATCAATTTGCAGCTGAAACCAGATCCTCACTCTTCTAAAGTTCAGAGTCTTTGTAACAGGAGCTCCAACATACTGAGTTGGAAACTCCCCGGAGGCAGAGGTATTGACATAGAGAATGTGAATTAGCATGTTAATGCATGGTGAGTGCCAACATTTTACAGATACAAAATCATGCATATCTTTGTACAGAACAAGAAATAAAGTGAAGAACATAGTTGAGAATGAGAGAATTCTTTTAATTTTTTTTCTAATTTTTATATCAATCTATTTTTGTTTAATTTAATGCCGATTTTGATGTTTAAACCACTGAATTATGTATGCCTGAAGCACTTCGTTATCCATTTCAGATCATGAACTATAGTGAAGATTTTAGTAAGAGGTGATGCAAAATTTGGGATCTGATCCACCAAATGCCAGATATGTTAGTCTATTAGCAATAATTCAGATGGATCTTGAATGAGTTGGTAAGAAACAGTATAATTTGGCAATTGTATGGAAAGTTTAAATGAAAATTAATAACAGAGAATAAGATAATATAAGAGTCAAGGGTAAGATGCTGATTTGCACAAAGCATGTAGTGTGTTTTACATATTTGCTTTCATTCTTTTGTAGTGCTAGTCAATCAAAATATGCTCAAGATTTAAGTCATGTACATTGGAGCTCTTAATGTCTGAAACAAAGCCATAATTGCCATGTAAACTGGAAGACCTAAAATATAAAACTAACCGAACTTGTAAACATACAAATATAGTATCAAAAAAATGAATAAACGGTGGACTCTGGAAAAAGATGGTTCAAGAAATCCAGACTTACATTATGTAGCGTCTTCATTGCAACTCCTATAACCCGTAATCCCTCATTGTTTGCTTCTTCCCCAGTATTCAATATCCTCTGTTGATCTTCTGGAGAGAGTATACTAATTGAACCATCATCAATATCCTCAACAAAAGAACAAACTTTGATTACTTCTTCTAATGCTCCTTTAGTTATCATGAATCTACCATGGAATTGGCTACTTCTGTCTTCTATATCTGACTCTGTTTCTAAGACGACTGATACTTTTCTTCGTATAAAATCAAAAGAGACCTCGTCTATCTTCTTCCACTGGGATGCTTGGAACCTGTATCCATTTGTATATACATATGCCAATATTGCATCATCCAGGGGATATTTCTGATCAGTCTTGAAGTAAGCATTCAAAAATGCAAAACGTAAAACCTTTTCTTTTGGTAATCCCCTGCCATCAAGATGATTTACCATGATTGCACGGTTCATGGTTAATGTACCAGTTTTGTCTATGCAAAGGATATCCCTGTTGACAAAGTAATAAAATAAGAATTATATCCTAACTTGCTCGATTTGACAATGAAAAAATTGATGAATCAATATATTTTGATAGTCGATGAAAATGTGGTGATATGAAACATCCAGATTCACATCTTGACAGAAGTGAAGCACCACAAGCTTTATGTACTTATTTAAAAAGTTGAATGATTCTATCATCATTTCTGCAGTTTTAAAAATGATACAGTATGCCGAAAGTCAAGTATCACATGTTTTGTTTCAACTATTTATTGTTGGTATTTGTGCATCTACTTTTTTGCAATAGCTGTACAATCTAAATCGTGACATTATAGCATGCATTGCAAAATTTTATCAATGTTATGAAAATTTATATTTGTTATTTAGCCAAAGGAAAAGGTAGAGTCCTATTCAGCTTAGCTTAAAAACTCAATCTACTTCTTTCAAAAAAAATTTACTGCAGATATGTTACATAATTCAAAAGCTTCAAAAACTTAATGGATATAATTATCTGCCTAAGATATTTCCGTACACCCCAGTTATCATGGTAACTTCCCATTGAAACCTTACAAAACACGAGAGAAATGCAAGAAGAATCACACCACACATAAAATTTCCAGTCTCAAAAACTAACGACACTAGTCTCTCTCTTGTCCTTATGCTGACCAAGGGAATAATTTTATACATATAATGACTACTTTGCTAGTACATTCAAGTCATGGGATAGATATTTGTGTTTACATGTTGATGGCATTAATTTTCTTCACAATATTGCAAAGTGAAGTGAACTTACATGGATCCCATGTCTCGTATGGCATTTAAACTTTTAACAACGCATCTGTCTCTAGCCATAGCAAGTGCTCCTTTTGCAAGACTTGTGTTAACAATAAGGGGAAACATCTGAGGAGTGAGGGCACACGCAACAGAGATTCCAAAAAGAATACTCCCACTTAGATTATGAGATGTAAAATAATCAATCAATATTATGATTGTAGCTACCACTATCATAAAACAAATGAGCACAAAAGATATCCGGCGGACACCCTTCTCAAAGCCATCCGGTGGTTTCTGCTTCCCTATATTTGAAAACATGGTGCTCATATAAGTCTTGGATCCAGTGGAAACGACTAGGCCAGTTCCACTTCCTGATACAACATTTGTGCCCTGAAATATCATTCAAAACCCATATATGTTACAGTATTTTACTTGGAGAAGACAAATTATTAGGGATATCATGGAAAGACTACCAAAAACTACCACAGAAGCACAAGGAGACTAAATTAATGAGCTATAAATGCAAGGAAACAGCCTTTTTTTTAAATGACATTTGGATTATGATTTGCTTCTCCAAATTTTCAAATTTGTAGCCGTAAGACATTCGTTAAAGAAACAATTTCGTAATGAATTGGTCTGCTTGCTAAAGTATCAAGTTTGTATTCATATTAGAGAACACCATCCTACTTTCCATTATATTGTGTCATCCAGAAAATGGTGACATTCTCTGATTATCAGCAAAAAAGCTGAACAGATCCAAGTCTCTAACGTTGAGCAAGGTACAGTTAGAAATAAATTAAGCCAAAAAGGGAGTATAGCAATTGGTACTTTGGTAGGGGAATTAGTTAATCTAAAACCTAATGACTTCTTGTATTTAGTTTGAAAAGAGCTGAAGTGAACAAGAATGTTCTTATACAACATTCAGGTCTGACTTCTCCCAAACGCCAAAAGCAGCCTAAATATCTAACATATATTAAAGATTTAGTATCTTGTGACTACTGTATCTGGAACAAGGATTTGAGGAGGAATAAAAATGCATGGCTTTACACTCAAATTTATATTGGTATTGTATTTTTCCCAACAAAGCATAGTATTCGACAAATTGATCGTTCAGTCACACTTAAGTGCTATATATGGATCTTTTAAGAATTGTTCAATAGAGGGAATACTTAGAGGTTTCTACAGGTAAATTTTTTTTTTATATATATATATAGCAAATAGCTAGTTTAGGGACCACAGTTTGAATCACAAATCACAATGTCAAGATTGGGAAATGTTAACTAATACATTTATAGGAATTAGCTGCTTCCAGTAATGACTATTTTTTTCATTTCATCTTCTTGTTCTATCCACACTAATGGTCCTAGAATTTGTAGATAATTAAGCTGGAGCAAGTTTTAAATAATTGACCACCATCATCTTGTAATATTCTTTCAAGTTTTCCAAAGCGTGCCTCAAAGTTGGAGACTACTCTTGTGTCACTTAAAACTGATTAGTTAGGATTGTAAAATTAATAAACTAGAACAGACACATCTAAATAACTATGACCAAATCTCTAGTTTTTTTTCTGCCAAGCCCCGAATGGAATAGGATGTATTCATCATGGATGCCTAATTCAATATCATGTATGACTCTCTGTTGTACATAATTTCTTGGCTAAGTAGGTTAACGGAAAAGGCT